GTGAAAAGTCAAGCTACACTTTCTTTTCCTCCCAATAGAGGGAATTTTTTTTGGGGGGGTGAGACGTGTTACCCACTATATCTACTAAGAATAGTAATTTAGAAAATAAAACTGAAAACTAATGGAGTGCTTAAGCTTTTACTGGCACTAGAAAAAACATGAAAAGCAAGATAGTGAGTGGATGGCATATGTTTCAGAAATGTAAAAAGAATTTTAAAGAGTGACATTATGGGTCTCCACTGGGGAATATAAATGGAAAGAATAAAAGGGGGAGAGATTTACTCTTTACTCTGATGTGTTTTCTGTTCAGTCCAAAATCATTCCCCAAGGAAACCTGAAGATCAAAATATCAATGTTATATATTTTCATTTTTCATGAATTTTGGAGGAGTCAAATGGAAGAGGTTTACAATGTGGTTAGAGAAAGGGAGGAGGTTGAAAGTTGAGTGAGGGCCTCTCATGTCAAACTATCTTTATGATCAAATATTCACTGAATAAAGAAATGACACATTTCTTTGAGTTAGAATTCCACTCATCAAATTATTCACAATATTTGGCTACATCATCCTTGTTCCCAGAAGAAATGACAAATGATTGGTGAGGTGTTGTTCATTGGACTTAGGGAGGGAGCACTAGTTTTAAACAAGGCAACTCCTCAGTTTTGAGTCAAGAGATAGGTATAATTCCCCCCAACCCCCCTTAGGAATATCGAGTGAAAGTGATCATCTGGGAGCTGTTAGACAATGCAAGCTGTGCTTGAGTCTGTAACTGAAAGCAGCAAAGGATGGATTTGCTTTTGCTAACAGGTTGACTATCTAGACCCACACATCCTCTGATATGTAATTAGAACTATTTTTATAGAAATTCAGTCCATTATGTGCATATAAAAAGTTAATGTTAGTCTATATGGAGTAACATTTAATGATTTTTGTGACTGTATTTGGAAAATACATGGCAAACGCTTCATGAAAGTGGCTGTCTTTTTATGACATCTTCAGAGGAAAATGGATTGTGACACAACACATATCTTGGGGTTTTTAGTTTTTTTTTTTATATACTAACTCTGTTTCTTATGGAAATCAGGTCCTCTAGGATAATCCCCTTCTACCCTTTATTGGCTTTGCAGGTAGATACATCCAGTGTGGACTGAGAAACATTACTATGTAGATGTATTTTCAATAAAAAAAAAATAGTTTTACATTAGCTCACCTGTGCAGTGTGGTATTTTTCTTCAGTAAGTAGTATTAGTAATAACTGGAAATAAGTCTTATGGTGGAGCAAAAGGCTCCTTTTTGGAATGGTACTGGTAGGCTGAGGAGGCTGACAGAGAGGAAGGAAGGGACTCTTGGAAGAGGCAGAACAATAAAGTAGCATTCTTTTCTACTTTCAGTGGTATCCAACTCAAATAGAAAAGCAGGGGAACTAAACCATACGTAAGGATTCCACTGGGCTGTAGATTTAGTTAGAAAATCACATAGTGACATTATCTATGTTCTATTGTATTTTTATTTTGTTAAATGTTTCCCAATTCCACTTCAATCCAGTTATGTCAGTGTTTGATACCTCTGTTTTACTAGAGCTTTCTCAGGGCCATTACTGTGAGTCAAATTTCTCTGACACACCCAATCAATCTCAAAATGGGATTACAAAATTCTTCTTCTTCCCCCAAAGTTGTTTCCAATCTACCCAATTAAATCTGTCTTTGCAATTGTCATTCCCATGCAGCTGGTGACTCAGGGGATAGAGCACTGGGCCTGGATTCATAAAGACCAGAGTTCAAATGCAGCTTCAGATACTTCCTAGCTGTGTGACCCTGGGGAAGTCACTTAACATCTCCTTGCCTCAGTTTCCACACCTATAAAATGGGGGTAATAATAGCACCTACCTCCAGGGTTTGTGTCAGGATCAAATGAGAGAATATTCATAAAAAAGCATTTAGCTCAGTGCCTGGCACATAGTAGGTGCTATATAAACGTTTATTCCCTTAACCCCCTCTATTCGTCAATGACGTATGATCATAATCATAATAGCTAACACATAGTACTTCAAGGTCTGCAAAAGTACTTTACAGACTGTATCTCAGCTGATCAGAAGGTATTATCCTCATTTTACAGATGAGGAAACTAAGACTTATAGCAGTTAGGTGACTTGTCCAGTGTCACACAGCTGATAAGTGTCTGAGGCAGGAGTCACTCAGGTCTTCCTGACTCTGGGCCCAGCATCGTATCTAACCACTGCACATCCTGGCTGCTTCAAAGGCAAAGCTGCATAAAGGGCTAAATAAAATCTAAAGAGATCTTTCTTTCAGAAAGGAACATTATGCCAGGAAGCAGCTTTTTAAAAAATTTTAAGGAAACTAGAAAGCCTGTGGCATTAACATTGTTGTTCATATGATGCTTCTAATGAAGAGTTAGGAGACAAAATCATTGATTCATAAGGTTAGATGTGACCTCCAGTGATCACCTGGGCCAAATACCTACCTTCAGGAAGGATAAGCCATCCCATATGGTGGACATCTAGATTGTCAAGAAAAAAAGATGCCACAACATCTCCTGGGAATCCACTGTCTTGCTGGCATTTTCCTTATCAAGGATCTAAGATTATAAAATTTAGAGATCATCTAACCACTATCTCCATTCTGCAGATAGAGAAGCCTCACTAAGTGAAGGAATGTGACCGAGTTCATATAGGTAGTGAGTAGCATAATCAGAATTTTATGGGCGCAGCTAGGTGGTGCAGTGGATAGAGCACCGGCCCTGAAGTCAGGAGGACCTGAGTTCAAATCTGGCCTCAGACCAAACACTTGACACTTACTAGCTGTGTGACCCTGGGCAAGTCACTTAACCCCAATTGCTTAAAAAAAAAAAAAAAGAATTTGAACTCGGGCCTTCTGATACAAAATCTAGTATTCTTTATAGTACTGACAGGCTTGGAGTTCATTTTAATTTATTTATATTTCCTCAAGGCCTTGACAGTGATCAAGACACACTGGTCACCAGGTTCTATCAGATATATTGGAAAACCCCAGAAAGTCTTTCCAGCATTTCCATTTCCCAGCCCTAACCTCCTCCTCTTAAGCTCTTTTCTTTTTTCCCCCCAATACTCGCATCAACTATTTCCCCATTCAAGACCAGCTGCTTGGCAGAGTAGATAAAGAGTTGGCCTCACTGTCTGGAGGAGTTTTGACGTGGGTTCAAAACATTCAGACTGCTTGCGTGGCCCTGAGCAAATCACTTAACCTCTCAGTGTCCCAGACAACTCTGTAAGACTAGAATTTAGAATTAGAACCATTGCTGATTTGCATTGGTAGATAGAATTTCCCCAGAAGGAGTACCTTACACCCCCCCCCAAAAAAAAACAGAAGTCCTGACCAAAACAAAA